GGGTGTAAGTCACGGAGCACCTGGCCCAGCACCCCGCCCGCCCACAGCTGTGCACACGCAAGAATGAGTCACCGATCGATAAAGGTGAGCCTGCTGCCCGAGCCCACAGGCGCAGTGCATAGCGCGTCCCAGCGGACTGAAGGGTCCCAGGTTCGATTCCGGTCAAGGGCACATGCCCCGTGTGGGAGACAACCAATAGATGTGTCTCTCTCACATCGATGTTTCTCTCTCTCTCCCTCCCTTCCACTCTCTCTAAAAATCCCTGGAAAAAACATCCTCGGGTGAGGGTTAACGGAAATAAAAGATCCAGGTGCACATGCTGATCGCCTCCTGTACGCCCCACAGTGATCGTCACCCCACTCCACTCTTGATCCTCCAACACAGCGGTTCTCAACCTGTGGGTCTCGACCCCTTTGGAGGTCGAACGACCCTCTTTCACAGGGGTCGCCTAAGACCATCGGAAAACACATATAGAATTACATATTGTTTTTGTGATTAATCACTATGCTTTCATTATGTTCAATTTGTAACAATGAAATTGGGGGTCCCCACAACATGAGGAACTGTATTAAAGGGTCGCGGCATGAGGAAGGTTGAGAACCACTGCTCTAACAGTTACTGAATGCACTCCATGTGCCAGATATGGAGATTTAGAAGACTCAGTTCCTGTCCCGGATATAAATTATGAGCCAGGTAATCTCGGTATTACCAGTTTAGCCTCGGAATGTTCCAGAAGGCTTGGGAGAATTGGGGGGGGGCGGGGGGATGAAATATAAATGAGGTCTTGAAGGTGTAGAGTTTGCCTCTGAGAAACGGGATTATTCGTGGGCATTCGTGGGCACTCAGCAGTTCCAATGTCGGGCAGATCACAACCGGGGGGAGGTGGGGGACAACTTCATGAACCCCAAGTGCCCCCACCGCCTGAATTCACACCTGCAGTTTGTGGCTAGGAGCAGAGCCGTGCAGGGGGGCAGCCTGTTGGCACGGGTGTGAGTGAGGGCAACACCCCCTCCCTGAGGGCAGCGGAGCGGGGAAGTCACGCTGACCCTTCCCATCGTGGAACAGCAGAGCCGGAGCCTAAACTGTGCCCCCCGCCCGCCCCTGAGAAGCCAGCCCTGGACAGACGAGCACCAGGCAGGATGGGCAGCTGACCGCCCGCCAGGCCTCCGATCCCTGCAGCACCGACCGCCTGGCACCCCAGCTTCCTCCTTGAGCGGGCCCCGTCTCTCAGCCTCGCATCCTGGTGCTGAGCCAGCAGCAGGTGAGGGGGGAGAGCCAGCTCACCCTCGCCCACATCTCGGCCCCACCCTCCCTGCTTCCCCGATGAGTCACTGCAGCCACAACAGCTCCAAACATGCTAAGGGTCACACCTAAATGCCAATCGACAATCGACAAAGTGCTTCCGGGGCCAGACCCTGCAGCCAGAGGGGCTGGGGCTCCAACGGACAGGACACGGGCAGTGGGCTTCCCTGCCAGCTCCTCAGACGCAGCCCCAAACCGGACGGAGCCCCAAACCGAACGGAGCCCCAAACCGGACGCAGCCCCAAGCCGGTTGGAGCCCCAAGCAAGGTTGGAGCCCTGGCAGCACAGCCGGGAGGCTCATGAGGGACTGCGCCATGCCTGGGCCCGGCTGCCGACGAGGAGGGGAAAGGCCAGCCGGGTAGAGAAGGGTCCGCCGGCCGTGAGAACAGAGGCCTCCGGTTGGCCTTGGCAGAGCCCCCGCGGGCCTGCCAGCCAGGTG